AACTTTCAGAGGATGAGGGGATAGCTCCAGATACACCAGCATTCACAGGACTTCTTTGTCCAGCTCTCTTTAAGTCCTGATTGTTTAAGGCCAAAGCAGTAACACGCTTGGGAACTGACCTAACTACAGCAGAGTCACCATTGGACCTGGTGGATCCAGATGAGTTGCTCTTTTCAAAGCCAACTGCGGAGAGTGAGGAGATTCCCTCACCTAATCTATTCCGAGATGTCCAAAAACAATGGACTCAACCAGGGGTATTCCCACCCCCAAGCGGAAATGACAGATTTTATAATGTGGCCCAGATTTCTCAGAGGTACTACAACCACCAACCATAGATGGACCAATAGCGGCCTTAACATCCTCCACCATCCTGCCTAAAGACTCAGAGGATGTTTTGAAGACAAAGGATAGGAAGGCGGAGCTAACCCTCTATAAGGTGCACCAGGCAGCTGCCTGGACTGTCAAAGCTGCTACAGCTGCCTCATTTTTCAACAGGGCATCATTGATCTGGCTTTACCAGATGCAAGACAGGGCCCCCCCTGGGGACATTCGATTACACCAAGACATCAACAAACTGATAGTGACTACGGAATTCTCACTGGATGCCACTTTGAATGCCACAAGGTTTGCTTCCAGGGCCATTGCCGCCTCAGTGGCGGCCCGTAGACTGCTGTGGCTTAAACATTGGTAGGTAGACATGAAGTATAAATGGAAACTAGCTTCTGTTCCCTTCAAGGATAGCAAGCTGTTTGGAGAGGTCCTAGAGCCCATGTTGGTGGAAACTCAGGACAGGAGGAAGATCCTACCTTCAGTTTACAAGCAAGCTGACTGCCGCCCTCACCCTATTTTAACAGACATGGGGTTTGATCCCCCTCAATCTCAGAGGGCATACACCCACAGACAAGACCGACAACCGGACGGATCCGGATTCAGGGACAGGAATGGGCAACACTTCATGGCAAGTGGCCATTTTGGGGCACGCCCAGTCACCCCTTCCGCTGCACCAAGTGACTACAGGTCCAACCCTCCCATTGGTGGACGGTTAAGCCTGGCGACACTGGCAGCACACTTCAGAGCAGTCTCAGTGTGGGTCCAATGTTACTTGGACGATATATTGATACAGTCCTCTCCCATCCGGGCAGTAGAGTCCCTGACCCTCCTCTCACAACTCCTGGGCAAAATGGTGTCCTGCATATTGATCATACCCTGGGCATAGCTACACGCCAGAACGTTGCAGTGGTTTCTCCTTCCCTACCAGTGGCCTGGCAGGAGCAACTCGAATACCAGGGTCCAACTCCCAACAAATGTACTGCAATCACTCCAGTGGTGGATGTTGCAGACCTGCCTAAAGTATTATGAGCACTCATATCATAGCCATTTGAACTGTTATGATCAGATAGCCTACGATTCCTCACCTTCAAGGTGGCCTTCCTCAAAGCCATCACTTCAGCCAGATGGATATCGGAGCTGGTGGCCCCATAAGAGAGGACCTTTGCATATTCCATTTGAATATGTTGGTTCTGTGGCTGGATCCCTCCTTCCCAAGGTGAATTCCTCATTCTACAGGGCACAGGAAATAATCTTACCAGACCTTTGTCCGAGCCCACCCCATGTCCTGGATAAAAAATGGCATACCTTGGATGTTAGGAGGGCCCTCCGCTCCTACTTAAAGAGGGGAGCCTCTATTAAAAGGACAGAATCTGTGTCCTTCCAGCCATACATAATAGGTAACAAAGGTTACATCATTGACCATAGCCGGTGGATGCAGGTATGAATCGTCAAAGCTTATGAGCTTCAAGCCCTGCCATTTCCCAGACGAATGACAGCCCATTCAACCAGAAGCGCAGCCACAATGGCTGCATGGAATACAGAGGCCTCTATCAAGGACATCTTAGGACAGCAACATGGTCTTTCCCATTCCCGTTCATAAGACACTGCAAACTGGACGTCTTTGCTTCAGCTGAAGGGGCCTTTGGCAGATGGGTGCTTCAGAAGGTGAATGTAAACTTTGGGACTCAGGACCAGATTGCTACCTACCCTTACAACAGCTGGCTTTGGTAAGTCCCATTCCTTGGATTCTCTGCTGAGCACACTGGAGAAGGGGTGTTGGTCTTACCTGATACGCTCCTTTTCGATGTGCTGAGAGAGAATCCAACCCCACTCTGGTGGCTGTCTGGCCTAGTTCTCCCTCGAGCCGCTCATAGCATCCAGAGAGTGGGAAGTGCTTCTGAGTCCTCTCTCACAGGCTGAGCTTTAATTGAGGAACGCTCCGCCCCCTCATGTGACTCCACGCAGCGTCCCCCAGTTTTTGCTCAGTCTCGGAGAGACAGGCTGCTTGCGAAAAGGCTCCTTGGCTGATTCAAGGCTTTTCTCGTATTTCTCGCTATTTTCTACTATTTCTCAGCAATTCAGGTTTGAATTTGACTTCCTAGCCCCTGCGCAAAGGGTTTGGACCTAGGGGGAGTTTTCCCTCGTCCCTAGGGGCTCAGCGGGCGGGATCGCAGCGCTTCGCGCACCCCCCCATCATCAATTCGCGTCGCTGCCTCCGCGCTGCTTTAGCGGCTCGTTAATCTTGCTGGTTTTCCCCCCACCTGAAACGCCGACCGTGGGAAGGACTAATTCGCTCCGGTTGGGGCGCTCACGTCAACTCGCTCTCGACACAGGGCAGATGGTCACGGATAGAGCAAAGATGCAGCATCAACTGGCTGGAGCTTCACGCCGTCCACCTGGCCCTGCGCAGCTTCCTCCCCCAGGTCCGCGGACGTCACGTCCTCATTCTCACGGACAACGTCACGGCCAAAGCCCACATCAACAGGCAAAGGGGCACCCAGTCTATTCAGTTGATGAGGGAGGCCGAACGTCTCTGCCGCTGGGCAGAATCCAATCTCCTCTCGCTAAAAGCAGAGCACATCTCCGGAGTTTCCAACATCCAGGCGGACTGGCTGAGCAGGGCCACGGTGGACCAGTCAGAATGGCGCCTCCACCCATCCCTGTTCAAGGAGGCGTCCAGAATCTTCAGCCTACCGGTCGTGGACCTCTTCGCTTCCCCGTCCAACGCACAACTTCCACGATTTTTCTCCAGATACCCGTCCCACGGGTCGGAGAACCACAACGCACTACGCTGCCCCTGGCCCCCAGGGCTCCTGTACGCCTTCCCCCTGTTAGCCCTAGTTCCCAGAGTGATACAGAAACTCATCCACGAGAAGGCAGATTTGCTTCTGGTGGCCCCTTATTGGCCCAGGCGCCCGTGGTTTGCGAACCTCCATAACCTATCGGTAGCGCCCCCTTGGAGAATCCCCCCGGACAGGATTTCCCTCTCTCAGTGGCCCCTTCTACACCCGGAACCCCAATGGCTCCAGTTAGCCATCTGGAGGTTGAACGGATCCGCTTGAGAAGAGAGAAATTCTCCAGTCAAGTAATCGACACTATTCTGGCCGCCAGGTGGCCCTCAACCACACGGATTTATGATGCCACTTGGAATAGCTTTTGCAGGTGGTGTCATGGGTCCCAAGTTAACCCTCTCTCTCCCTCTGTTGCCCAGGTCCTGGAATTCCTTCAAGAAGGCCTACGCAAAGGGCTTTCCCCTAACACCTTGAGGCGGCAAGTTGCTGCCCTGTCAACCGTTGTCTCTTGCGACAACTTCGGTTCCCTTTCCCACCACCCTCGGGTTAGAGCTTTCCTCAGGGGTGCCACCAACTTGTGCCCCCCGACTATTCACAGGTTCCCTACCTGGGACCTCAACAAGGTTCTCGTTTCACTCACAAGGCACCCGTTTGAACCCCTAAGGGAGTCCTCCCTTCAATTTTTAACATTTAAGGTAGTTTTTCTGGTGGCCATTACATCAGCACGACAAGCCTCGGAAATCGCAGCATTATCAGTCAGAAAGGACCTATGCGTGTTCCACGCTGACCGGGTGGTCCTTCGTCCCGACCCCACCTTCCTGCCCAAGGTTAACTCAACCTTCCACAGGTCACAGGAATTGGTCCTCCCAAACTTTTGCCCCAGACCCTCGAGGGACAGGGAAATCCTTTGGCACACCCTAGATGTAAGGCGGGCCTTGCGCATCTACATTAAGCGTACACAACCCCTGAGAAGATCAGAATCTCTCTTCCTTTCCTTTCAGCCCAGGACACTGGGGCTCAAAGTATCCCCCTCAACCATCAGTCGCTGGATCAGGGCTACTATCTCCAGATGCTACCTATCACAATCCCTGCCCGCACCTAGTGGAATAACTGCTCATTCTACCAGGAGTGCAGCTACTTCGGCAGCCTGGGCCACGCAAGCCCCAATCGCTGACATTTGCCGGGCAGCCACTTGGGCCTCCCCGTCTCCCTTCATCAGGCATTACAAAATAGACGTATATGCCTCAGCGGAGGCCTCGTTTGGCCGACGAGTCCTACAGAGGGTCATCAGTGACCCGGAGGGGCTTCCGGCCCAGACGGAGTCCCTCCCGTAGGACTGCCAAGCTTTGGTATGTCCCACTCTCTGGATGCTCTGAGCGGCTCGAGGGAGAATGGGCGTTGGTTCTTACCTGATACGCCCGTTCTCGGCGAGCCGCGAGGAGCATCCAGCCCCACCCTAATTTCTCCGTCTGGCGGGGAATCTTGTTTCAGCCAAGGATCCAATAGTTGGTTAGAAGGAGTACATAGCCTTTTCTTCTCATTCTCGCAAAAACTGGGGAACGCTGCGTGGAGTCACGTGAGGGGGCGGAGCGTTCCTCAATTAAAGCTCAGCCTGTGAGAGAGGACTCAGAAGCACTTCCCACTCTCTGGATGCTCCTCGCGGCTCGCCAAGAATGGGCGTATCAGGTAAGAACCAACACCCAATTCCAGGAGGGACCAGAATCTGCACAGGAATATGGCAAGGCAATCACTAATCCTTCATCAAAACTGGGCATGCTCAGGCAAAGGAGGTATAACCAAAGAAATGATTGACTCAGTCTCCGAGCAGAATTAACCCATTCCTTGGATTCTCTCTCAGCACACTTAAGAAGGAGTGTATCAGGTAAGACCAACGCCCCTTTTATTAACATCTTATTTTCAGCATATGATCTCAAATAGACATACCAATATTTCTTAAGAGGAAATAGCCTCTTTATTGAGTAAATTAGGAGCACCTAGTTTCTCCAGACTAGAAAATTTTAATTAGCATGTTCTTATTTTTTCTGTATAGCAATACTTTCTTCCTCGTTAAATCTTTTATTTTACTTTGAATTCTTAACATTCTGGTATATATTTCTGATGGATAAGCAAACTTTATGTACAATACATTATTTTAAGTCTTTATTACATTTACAAGTCAAGTAGTGTGATATTCCTTGCTTCTTAAAATTCCACTATAAAGAATGTGCTGCCTTAATTAAAAATTCCTGGTTGTTTATCTTAGCACTATAGTGTCACATTGTGAATATCTGTTAGTGTCATTATCAGATTTTTAAAATCTTAATTTCTGCATACCTGATGCTCCTTTCATGTCCTAACTAGTGAAACTGTTTGGAATTATCAAGCTCAAGCGCTAGTAAACTGGGAGCTGTTTTTATTATCAAGATCAATCAATGATTGATTCTTATGAGTGAATAGAAGCTGCTTAAGGACTTTCTATAAGTTAAATACAATAATAGATTGTTAACAGAGGCCTCTGAGGTCTAGCTTCATGGTTAGGACTGCCTGTTAACTTTTTTTTACAGGAGATTAAATAGTAGGTCAAACTGGTTGATTGGTAATAGATTTCTACAATTGAAATTAAATTTTTTAATTTATATAGCAATTTTGCAAATATAGATACAGACATTTATAGATTGGTAGCCTATTTTGCAAGGGGGGATAATTCTTGTTTTATACACTTGTTTGTTTCTGTTTTTGTATCATATTTCTTTTATTCTGTATTTTAACTTTGGAAATATTCAAAAAGCTGAATACTATATAATAGTACTGATAGTGGCTTTAATATATAGTGTTGTACTATAATTGTGCAAAAGATAACATGAAGCAGAAAGCTTCTTTAAAATTAAATTCAGTAAAAGTGTGAGAAAAGGGAAACAAAGACGTATCAAGAATACAGCTATCTTAAAGCAAACATACCTGGTTAATTTTCTGGAATTCAGTTCAGTGAAATAGACTGTGATTACTGTGATTACTATTTTGGATAAATCATGTCCTTTTATCTTAGGGTAAAAATCTCTCGGTATAAATTAAATATTTATTTTTACAGTTTTCTTCATTTTTGGTAGGTGTATCTTTAATAAAATTATGAAGATATTGGCATTTAATTCAGAAATGCAAAAACATCTCTGAGGGAAATGGGTGCTTTAGAAGGTAGGTAGGTAGATTCTTTAAAATCCTTTTTGATTTTGTTAAAAATGTATTCTATTTTTATGTTAATTCCTCTGTAATATATTATGCACTAATTGTGTAACTTTTGCAACTTATCTACTTGTAAATAGTACTGATCTTTCTTGAAAAAAAATCCCTCATGCCAAGCCCAAATGTTATGTTGGTGTAGATATTACGATATCATTTTGTTTGATTTGGATGGAAGTGATCTACCTTTTTTGAAGAGATTTGTATTGATTTGTCAGTCTAACTTGAAAAACTTTCCTGGGTTTGCTAAGGGCATATAGGTAAAATGTAATAAATGATAAATGGTATTCTCTCACAGAAATGAGATTTTGCCTTTTTTTTTTTTTTTGAGATGACAAAGATTGGTTAGATGTATCCTTGTTGAAACAGCTATACTGATAATCCTTGATTTACAACTGTTTATTTAGTGACAGTTGGAAATTACAAGGCACTGAAAAAACTGGCTTGTGACCATTTTTCACACTTATGAACATTGTGGCATCCCCATGGTCACATGATCAAAATTCAGGTGCTTGACAACTATCTCATATTTATGACAGTTTCAGTGTCCTGTCACGTGTTCCCTTTTGTAACCCTCTGACAAGTAAAGTCAGTGGGTAAGCCAGATTCATTTAGCAATTGTGTTACTAAATTAACAACTGCAGTGTTTCACTTAACTATGACAAGAAAAGTCATAAAATTGGGCAAAGCTGACTTCCAGTTGCTCATCATCGGAGTTGGAGCAGAATCCGCGATCGTGCACGGTTTCATTCCGAGCTCACTTGTTGGAGGGTTCTGATTGGGACTGGAAGTACCCTGGAGGGTGGTGAAGAAAGGGTGTATCGCTTGGAGGGTTGAGGGGAGTCGCCACTCCCCTCCCTGACAAGAAAAAAACCCTTCCAAAGGCAAGTTGCGGCAGTGGTCTAAAATGGCCACCACGAAGTCAAGGAGCAGTCTGGGAAACTAAGACTGTGCTGGAGTGGTGAAGCAGCGAATGGAGTGTGAACCAGGAAAAATACATGGACTTTAAGGTACCCTGGTATTAAGAAATAAAAGGACTATTTTGGAGGAAAGTGTGTAAGGCGGCGACCAGAAAGAGTGAGAAGGAAATTGGAATTTATAAAATTGGCTTGAACTATTGCAATTAATTAACTTGGAGGAGAAAATTCAGAGGAAAATATTTGAGCACAAAAGGCTTGGAAATTAAATTGGATAACTAAATAGGCATAAATAAATGCTGGAATTGAATGTGTTGAAAAGAAATAATAGCTAATAATTGAAATTAGCGAACTTAATAAAAGTTTTATAATTTTTTTTAAAAAAAGCAAAAGTAAAAGAACGAGTGAATTGTGGAAAAAGAACCAAGAGCGCCACCTGATGGTACAGGAAAAATTTCAGTGACTCTTTGAAAAGGGTTTGGTTTTTCTAATAAATTGGACTTTGGAATTTAAAAGAAAATAAGAGAAACTCCATTATAATAAAATAAAAACCCTGAAAAATGATAACAGAATACTATAAGGGGAAAGATACTTGAAAACATTGTTTTAGAACCACCCGGTGAAACAGCTGGAAAAGGACCTACTAGAAGACCTGGAAACAAAGACTTATGGACATTGATTGTTGAAAATAAATATAAAAGACACTGGTTGAAATAACATACTGGATTTTTGGATTGGATATATCTGTTAAGGAAGAGGGGGGGAAAGGAGCAGACAATGGGGGAATTATTAGTTGGAATAAGATTGGATTTATGAGACATGAAGGAAATGATGAAGGTGAGACTGGAAATGTGCAGCAATATATTACAGAAACTAGAAATGGTGACTCAGCTTGCAGAAGAACAAAGAGAACCAGAGGGGGAGGAGTTAAACAGGAAACCAGCTTTGAAGATCAAGCAGAGCAACAATCATTTAAGCAGGGGGGGAAAGGAATTAAAATTAAAAACTTGTAGTTTGATGTGACAACAAAAGGGGGAATGGTTTGGAAAATGAAAAAAAGAAAAGGGAAAAAGCAGAAAAAGGAAGCACAAAAGAAAGATCGAGAGGGAGATACAATAAGTGGAATGAGAAATGGAGGGGAATAATGGGAAAAAAGGAAACTAAGAGAAGACTAGAAAATAAAGAGAAGCAGGAAACAAACAAGAATGAAAAGAAATTATATTGTTAGGAGAGTTAGAGATAATGGGTAAAAAAGGATAGGGGGGAGATTCCGCAAGGTAATGTGTTGTGATATATAAGAATAAGTATTGAAAATAGATAAGATTGTAACTGATACTGTTTTTTCTTTTTCTCTTTTTTCTCTTTTATTAAAGGATTATAGCTACATTAGATATGGAATATAATGAAATAAATATGGATATGGAAATTTATAATAAGAATATTGTATATTAATTGATTAGGGATGTATAAAATATGAGAATTATTATAGAAAGGTTAATATCAGTTGCTACAACTAATTGACTAGATTAATATTTTGCAATGTGTAGATTAAAAAGGTGATTCAGAAAATGCTATGCGGAATCTGATATAATATATCTGTATATTTGATATGTAGTAAATAGAGAAATATTGTTACTAAAGTAGAATGAAGTTGGTAAGCTTGAATCAACAACCAAAGGGGACAATTTGAGAATTAATAGAATAAGGATTGATAAATTGCAAATGTGACAGATAAAGGCAATGTGGAACATGAATATAGAAATGAGACAAGAATGCTAGATAATATTGTAAAATAAGATATGAGAATATCCTAAGAAAAATGAAATAAGTCATAATATGAACTGAGATTGGATAAAATAAGCTTAATGAATTTAATATTAATAGGGAATAATGTGATATGAAATTGAATAATTAAGATAAATAGGTAATTATGGTCATGTTTGTGTTGAGATATGAAACTTGGAACCACACTGCTTGCTAAATGAGAACTTTTATTTAAAAAAATAAAAAATAGGAGAGGAAATTGAATAATGAAATTACTAGGTATGTTTAAAGTTATTCAAAGTAATCTCAGTACTAAAACCTGGGCAAAATTCCAGTTGAAATGAGTCCAGATAATCAATTTCATCTAAATGCATCTAGAATTGTGGGGCCACAATTTTTTTTAAAAAACTTAACTTACAATTAGAGCTCTTTTGCAACAAGGAAAAGGGAGCTTGACTTCTTTAAACAGAGAGGAATATACTTTACATTCACAAAAGTGTTGGTTGCTTCCCTTATCCATGGGTTCTGTCTTAACCTGACAGATTTAATCAGCCATGAGGGGTAAGAATTAAGCAAGAGGGTGATGGCCGCCTTTTCGCATCTTTATAACTTTGATGTCTATGAAATTTAAAAAAACCCCACAAATATAGCAACCTCCTGGCAAAGTTAACAATTGTTCAATTTTAAATTTCAGGTTAAGTTAGGATTACCTGGGATTTAGTCAAAATGCTTCAAGTATATTTGCAGATATTTATAATCTTACATTGTCATCAAGATACTGATATTGGTTATTAAGTAATGGCTTGCTCAAGGACACATAAAAAGTTCATTAAGTTGATGATAGAGGTCTTATGGTATGATCTATATTTTGGTAACTTTTCTGCTTGTAATGGGTAGCCCTCGCTTAACAATGGTAATTGAAGCCACAATTTCATGTGACTATTCTCACTTATAACGGTAGTTTATGTGGAATCTCCAG